TGGTATAACGTCGAAGACGTTGGTATCAAAAGCACCCTTTTTCATTTGCAGATTCAGTTGTTTTGGTGATCTTAGATGGGGAGATTGGTTAGTGATACTTGTGCACCTTTTTTATTTTGCAGATTCAGTTGTTTTGGTGATCTTAGATGGGGAGATTGGTTAGTGATACTTGTCCAGTGGAGGTTGTCCCATTGGCTCAAGTTTTTTTTCCTTCATAGCTGTTATAGGTTTGCCCAGCGCAAGCCTTGGAGAGTATTAGTGATTCCTGGTTGAATGCTTAGAGTCGAGAGGGTAATATAGGGTCGTCAGTCACCGGGTTTTTCAGCCTTGCGAAGAACAACTCCACAAGTGACGTCTGCCAGTAAATGGCTGACTTGGTTTAATAGTGCCTGTATTTAGTTAATATAGTCTTTTAGTCGACGAATCACTTCCGGAAATAGTAGTAAAAATGTATTTGTTGGCAAGGTAGTTTACACTTAGGTGGCCCCTCAAAAGAACCGATGAAATTGATGGTTAAGTAGGGAACGTAAATACTTATAATGGCCCTAAAAAGCGCCAGTGGTGAAACTTCCAGGCTATTCTTTATTATTATTCCTAATGATGAAGAGCTGGCTACGGGTAGCTTGATTCTTACCCTGGGAGTCTCTATGTACGGAGACTGTGATGGAGGGAGGTACGCTGCTGTTCAAGGATATCTCATCTTTGGGTCATTCCTCGGATAACCAACCGCTGATCGTTCGATAAGAACATGTAGGTAAGCATGTTGGGGACGCGACGACTAAGAAGGTAGCCGTTGTGGCTGCCCATGCCACTCAGAGCTGTTTTCCCTGGCTTACATTTGTAGCCAAAAATTCTCTGACTGCACCAGACGGGATGGTGGGACTGCCACACAACTCTGAAAAGTTGGTGCAGATTGTGCGCTGGCTAGATATGTCTCCTGGTATTATGCCGGAGACGTCATCGGTTGGAATTACTTTTTTTTCGATCGCACTCGTCGAGATTCAGGGTGAACGGAAACGTAGGTACCTTTCCCCTTAGAGAAGAGTGTTGTCCGTAACAGGGATATCTAGATGCAGGACTATAATCTCCATTGGCTATCTAGCCCGTTTAACTGCCGAAGCACGACTGCATTAGTTACGGAGACGCTCTGGCCTATTATAACCACACTTATTTAATTTTGTTGCAGGTAGCCTTGATTTTATGTCGAGGCCACCTAGCGGATTTTACTGAACTAAAGTGAAAAGCTGGCGTATTTTTGCAAAACTTTGAGCTCATTTATCGCTATTGTTATTTAATTTTTTAAGATAAAAACTATACTAAAACCATCTTGGAAGTATCATGAATCAGTGTGCAAAATTTCAGCAAAATCGGTTCAGTAGTTTTCGTGGTTAGCGATCACAACGGTTTTAGTGAATTTGCTTTATACATTAGTTATATTCCCAATTTACGTTATTTTTTGCATAACTTTTAGTGCAGTAGCTCATAAATTAAAATCATTTAAATTTAGGGAATGTTAACCCCTTTCGAACGCTTTTTATTATGGCACTGGCAGTCATAAGCAGTGGCATTGTCAAGCAGTAGAGAAGCCCATTCGGTAAACAGACTGACTACTCCTTACTCTTTAAGTGGTAGATGTCACGCATGCATGTTTTATCATGCAGCAGTGCATCTGGTAAGACTGCTATAAGGGTAAAATCCCATGACACGAAATAGAAGCTGTGAGCAGCGTGAAACATAAAGCCATCCCCATGAGTTAATATAATTAGTATATTCTGCTGCACCATTGGCCATCTCTAGAACGTTCATCTGCAAATATTTACCTAGCGATAACAAGATTACTTATGGTTTTGTTTCAATATGGTTATCAGATATCAAAAAAAAAATTACTATGAATTATGTCAAACTCAAAAACTTGAAAACAGTTTTTTTTTCGCTACGGATGCTTACACGTTTCTGTCCTGATGATATTCAATTTGGCAGGTACTTGGTGGCACTTGACGAGTGCTTGGCAGGTACTTGACGGGTATTGGTGAGTTTCTTTGTATGTTAGTTTGGCTGTATTCCACTGTTAACTGTTAAAGTACTAACTTATTACTCTGTATGTATATAAGGATTTTGACTTATGTAGACACTATATAAACAAAAAGCTTATAAATTCAGAGTTTTACTGACTCATGTTGCTTGCCTGCATATACTTATAATATTACAAATTTATATCTTGAATGCAAGGAGTCTGCATAAGTCAGTTTTCAGATGAATTTACATATTTGTATAGATCTGTGTGTGTGTGTGTGTGTGTGTGTGTGTGTGTGTGTGTGTGTGTGTGTCTGTGTTACAATCTGTAAGTTGTTATTGCCTATACTCTGTGTGCTATTATATTTTAACCATGCTAGGTGGTATGTAGGTTTTTCCGTATACATGTATTAGATGTGTGGACATGACGTTAAAAAGTAAGCTTATTATGTATCAATCAAGTCACATTCAAAGTAAAGATTGCTGACGTTTTTACTATACCTTTTCTGATCATTAAACGTTAGGCTATGACTGATAAAATACTTAATGACTGTTTAATTAAGATGACTGCTGATCTCAAATTTGAAGATTAAATGTAAGTTACCTTAGTTTTCTGTAAGTAAACTTGATGAAAACCAGCCATATTTTAGGTAAATTCAGACTGGGTAAGAAAAATACTATTGTATAAAGTTTGAGGACAACAACACCTGTAACTAACTAAATATGGATCAAAATAATGTGTCAAAAAAATAGTTCAAATATCCATAACAGATTTCTTACTTTTACTGAAAAAGCTATAACTAAGACACAAGAACGTTACGTACTATTACAAGACAAACTTAACGAGCCATGATGGGTCTCAATCAGTTTGGCTGTTGTTCTACAAATTGCCAAAAAGTACCAATTTTACCTCGTTCTCTGATAACGTTTTACTGGCATCCTTATAACCATTTTTAGTTCTTATTTTAATAAAATACGGGTCTTATGATTCATAACAACCCTATAGAATGTTAACGCGTCCAAATGCAAACTGTTTAGTACGTCAAAAAAAGGTTTTTCTAAAAAACGGCTCTAAAGAGGTTGTTAGACCTTATAGAGCCCATTTTAAGTTAAATTTTCTTTGTTAATTGTTGACCTAATAATAGTTCAATGTTTGCACCTAACTTTATTAAAAGTATCCTGAAAATCTATTTAAAAATAGTCTATTTTTACAAAGTACCAGTGGTGTCGCTGACTTGTTTGTAGGCTGTGCCTTTTTCCTTGCAAAGCTGTCACAGCGTCTTCGATTAATTTGTTTTTAACTAATGTGGCAGGTAAGATTATTAGTATCTTTGTATATAAGCATTGTAGATTAATAGCTATTTAATAGTATGGAGTCACAATTGTAAAATATCACGTGACAACAACATTGTAGTAATAAACACAAACGGCCCCAAATATTTAATTACACTGATTGTACTACGTAACTTCGTTTTTGTTTTTGTTACAAAATGCTTGTGTACAAAAAATTTTTTTTTACAGCATACTAGAATTATCATTGCAACTAAAATATGTACATAACAATTTTTTTTAAAGACCATTTGCTGACGATTTTCTTGGTTCTCATGTAGTTACGTTTTTTGTTAGGCTCAAGGTCTATAAAAAAAATTTTGGTGGCCCAGTCTAGGCTTATTAACTGAAAATCTAATTTACTCACTTAAGTTGTTTCAATCTGTCTTAGGAATGTACCAACAGTTAGCTAAATGACTAAGAATGCCCTTAAAACTAAAATTTTCTAGTGTTTCAACACATTTATTATTTTCTTAAAAATTACTTTTAATACATATGCGTGAATCATATTTTAGTGTAAAACTTGCTAGTTTTTTTTTTTGTGTTAATTTCTTGAAGTATAAGTTAGTGCTAAGGCAATCAGTTTTATACAGTGGTCTGCACCACATGATACTGAAGGAAGTTACAGAATAGGAGGTTTTTAGTTGAGAAGTGTGTGTATGGCTTATTTGTGACTGCTTATTCTAAAATATTGATGACAGAAGAACTGCTTTAAATAATAAAATATTTATTAATTGAACTGTAAGCATGGTGTGAGTACATTTATAAGCCTGGATCTGAACAGCAGATATTTTTCTCTATTAATATAGCTCTCATTCATAGACAAAGAACAGAGTTTTTATGTACAGAATGTATTTTACTGTCAAAAAACAAAAATTAAAACACTATACCTTAGTTGATTTAGCCATAGTTGATCCAACCACAGTTTGAGTTAGCTAACTCTGCGATTTACAAGAAATGAGTAACGCCATGACAAAAAATGGTATATTTTTTATCAGGAGGCTATAAAAAATATCAAGAAGTTTAACAGAAAGGCTATAAATTTAATTGCAAACAAAAATCTATGTATAAAATATTTTTTCAAGGTCATTAGACAAATCCATATTATAGTAACATTAAAAGAAAATTCTTGTGATGTTATTTATAAAACTAAAACAAGACAATATTTTTGAAAATAGCTTGAAATGATTTTTCAGTTTAAATCATTGTTAATCTGTTTTTGTGCAATGTAAAATTAAAAAAATGTCGTACACACATTCAAATAAACAATTAACATCTTAATAAATTTGATTTAATAAACTTAATGTAATGAGGCTGTTAAAGCAAGCCACTTGCCTTTGTTAAACCAATTTATTTATAAAAATCTGTTGGTTTCAAGAAGTACTTTAAAATAGGTACAGCTTTTTGACTACATGGTACAAACTTTACTCCAGGTAAGCACAGTCAGTTGGTGTGCCACATACCGTTTTCATAGAATCCATTCTGAAGGCAGTTCAAAAAGAGGAGGGGAAAATTAAAATCAGGATCAGGCTCAAAAACCAAAAGTAGCTATCATTATCGTTATAGTTTTTCAGTTGCATAAAGGTGTTGTATACTATAAATGACTTTATTAGCACTTGTCCTTATCACAAAACCACAATATTTTTTGAAATACTTACATTATCAATGACTTTTCTCAACATTCCATTCCATTGCCCTGTTTTCTGATTTAATGATCCATAAACATTATCTGCTTGTACAGAAAATGTGTAGTTGAATCCTAGCATTTTACTTATTTCGTATATAATATCAACTGCAAATCCTTCATACTGATCGTTGCCAGACATTTTTGAAACTGTTTCTTTTAACATACCATAAGGTTTTGTCTGTAATATATTAAAACAAATAATATAAATGTACAATCACTTTCTTGTTTGGTGTTTGAAAAAAATGTAACTTTTGTGGCAAAAATTGTTGTTTTAATAGAAATCTGTGTTATACACGGCTTTTGTATGCAGCTATCATTTTATTTTTTTACATACAAGTCATACAATCAAAATAAGCTTACTTTTTTAAATAATCATACATAAATTACCCTTCAGTGTCTCATACTATTTTATAATCATTATGATCTATGCAATAAGTGAAATATTGTAATTAAGTAATATACTTATTATTCCTGCATATTAGGAATTACAAGAAATAAAATTGTTTTTTTTTCTTAAGTATTACTTTGTACTTCGACATAATATTAATAAGTTTCATAAGTTAACTTTTAAGGTGTAATCAGTTCGTCTGAAACAAATTTAAAATAGGGACTAAAAGTTGACTCACATCGTGGCATTACGTATATTATTAATAAACCAACGGATCATGTTGCAAGAGACGCGTTTTAAACGAAGTCCCCTTCGTATATGGAGAGATGGTGCAATTACTCACTAACATTCATGAAATCATATACGCGTAAGCACCATATACAAAAATTATGTGAGTAATACTTTGGTAGCTATAGATAACAAGTTATTATTTTAAGTGATATTTTTTTTTTTCAAGATGTTGCAATAATTCTTTTAGTTAGTCAATGGATCTTCTCTACTAAAACTACTGGACCATTATTGTATAGAAATATTATTAGTTAATACAAAATAATCAATATTTTGAGAAAAATTATTTATTTGCAAGTGAACGTTGGTAAACTTTATTGCACTCATACATGCATACGAACTTTTCCGTATGCCAAGAAAGTTTAATCTACGGTTAAAGTTTATGCTTGGTGACTCTTTCATAAACTTGCATGGCATGAAAAAAAATGCGCATTGAAGTATGGGTACTATGTAATTATTACAGATACATAAAAATAAATAATTTTGCTTAAAATATCTAGTATAGTGTCTTGATAAGTGTTATTTTTAGTCTATTTTTCCATAAAACAATTTTGAAATAAATACAAAGAGCATATAGAAATTTCTTAACAATACTGTCGTGTTTTATAATTAACAAGAATAATATTATAAAGCTATTGCATTTAATAATATATATTAAGGTTATGTTATAAAAATGACTAAGATCTATTTCTATGTGTATCTCAATGATTCTGTTTTTCTTTAAAAATCCTGTAAAAATTGTTATGTTGTGCCCATAAAACTTTCTTTTTTAGACTTTATTTTTATTTTTTGGAGTTATGTTGTACTAAAGAAATTTTGAAGCTGACTCTGAATGATTATAATTATTTTTTTATTCTGCTGTTTATTTTACCGTAATATTTTAATAAACTTATTGTATAATTTTATTGTATTGAACTTAAGGTGTTACGTACAGAGGATAAAGGAATTTAACATATACATATACTATAGCTCAAACAAGTATATATTTTCTACTGACTTCGTACTGCGTGGATTATCCAAGTATGTACATACTCACTTACGCAGTAGGATATATACAAGCAACAGCTGCTATGGAGTACTTGTATGGTGAGCAAGGAAAGAGGGAAAAGGTGTTAGTGTATAATATAAGGTATGATGCCCAATACTTAGACAAAACTAAAATTCAAACCGATCCTGGGGCAGTGAAAAATCAGCCATTGTAGCAAATAAAACTAAGATATTTTAAAAAACGTAATAGATTAGTAGCTCTATGATTATTATTGATTATATACTTGAATTTTTTAATAAATTTTAGCAAAATTTAATAGAAGCAAATTATTCTAAATTTTACCTCAGGCACCATAAGAGTGTGATAATTTTTCTCTGTTTTCTAAGATTTTCATAATAGGTAATGCTTGTTAAATTTTATTTTATGCATTGGTATGCATAATGTATAGTGTTATTTTGCAACTTTTACATTAATTAACAATATTTCTAATGTAATCGTGAACAAAAAAGTTTTACAAAATTTAAAATTAGCTGTCCAAGTACACCTCACGATTTCGTAGTAGTTGGACAAACGTGGAACTCTTGTCCAACTTCAGATCATAGGCACAAAAACATCGTAGCTAGTACATGGTCATACAATCAAAGTTGTTTACCTTTTAACGTATTTATTTTTTTAAATAAATTTTTAAACAAAAGTGTATTAAAAGTTCAGTACTTAGAAAAAAAAACACTTCACTAATCAGTTTTGTTGTTAAAGGGTGCACCACTTGAAGAAAATGGTTTTTTCAACATTTTGAAAAGTCAACCTCCAATTTACTGTAAATACAGATAAAGTATGGGTTCTGAAAAGAGGAAAAGTGTTTAAAAAAAACAGTCAAAGAACGGAACAGAACAAAAGTGGAGGTCATACAACAAAAACAAAAATGAGAAATAAGAAAAATTATGATGTTACTAAAAAAAAATCTTAAATAACTAAACTAAAAAAATCAGCATAATTGGTTTTACGCTATCTCACTGATAGAACAATTGAAAAAATTGAGTGAGAACCGAGGTGACACCTTATTTGAGTTGGATAATTCGTTTGCAATTGAAGAGATGCAGTTCCTGCAAAAGAAAATTGAAATCAAGAAGGAGAAGTGTGATTCCACACAAATACAAATAAAAATGTTAAAAATCAAAATGCACCATGAAGGATTTATCTTGTATTTAATAAATTACTTTTGAAAAAAGATTAAAAATTTTATTTACGCATCTCAAGTAATAACTTTGTTATTATTTATCACTTTTGTTAACCTTTTTTCGTTATACGGTATTTATCTAAATGTATACTTTAGTTTCAATAAGTACTTGCACCTTATGATTTATACAACTGTAAAATCGTTGAAGTTAGTATAATCCAAGAACTGCTTTTCAAATTGTCCAAGTATTGCAGCATTGTCCAACTTTTGATTTTCAAGGTTGTCCAACTACTACAACAATCGAGAATAATTGTCTAACTACTCCGATAAGTTGATATCTTTTAAAATGTACGATAACTATTATTTAAGAGCTGTTTCACAACATTTTACGTGTGTTGAATAACCCTAAGGCATCCTAATTACAAGTTAGTATTTAAAAAGTATGTAAGTATTTCACATTAACTTTGAAATATAAGCGTTAAAATTAGTTTCGAGGAATTTGTCCAAGTATTGGGCACTTTACCTCAGTTTTATGCAGTCGTAAAGTGTATAAAAGAAAAAATAAGATAGGAGCAAAGAGGTATCGCCAGTGCACAAAGAGTGGCGAGCAGAGGCAGTGCATGGAGGAGAGTAGTTATAGGTATTTCTTGTTCTCTTGTTTTTTAAAGATTTTTCTAAGCTTTTTTTGTAATGTTACATTTTTTCTTGCCTATGTTTCTGCATTAAACTTAGCATAACAAGCACGGTTTGAAAAATTAAGAAAAATTAAAAATGTTTCACTGCAAAAGAGAAATTATGGATTGTTAATTATAAAATAACGAGTGTGTAAGAGTAGTATTTCAGTTGCAAGAAAATGCTTGGAAGTTATTCAGCATACATTTTTTATTACTCATTTATGAAGGAGTACATATTTCAAATTAAGTGATTTATTTAGACATATATATTCTATTATAATACATTTTATAAGTTTTTTTTTTATACCCGTCATAACTTTGCACATAAAATCGCGAGGGTACCTAGTGCATGGTATGCTTAGTAAAAGCTAGAGCGCTTTTACGCAAAAAAAAAAACCTCTTACAAAAATGAAAGATCAAGAGGATAAAAGAGTTTAAATGATCTTAAAAGAGTCCCTTCTTAGGCTAGGATCCGTTCAGCGGTGTTATCTAGTAAAGAGACATAGAAGCAAGAGAGATCCTGACGACGTCACTAGTCCCCTTTCATTTAGGACTCGTTAAACAGCACTACCTGGACAAGGGCGATCGAGCGTCAAAAAAAGTCAAGCAGACAAGCCAAGGGAGTCACCATAATTTTAGAGTCTAAATATAAATAATGTAAAAAATTTTTACGTTTCTTACTGGGAGATCAATACTTCTGCGTATACCCTATAGTAGTGGAGTTCCTGTAGTAGATAGAAAATGCTTATTTAGGGTAAAAATAATCTGAGGAAGCCATTGTAGGTTGTGTTAATGAACCTTTAGAAATCGAAATGAGCGAAATCTACTAAGAAATTCATTAAATTATTGTCACCTTGTGTAACCTAGTGGTTTTATCGCAGGAGCATTTATTTTAAAAAGATGCGAGAACTTAAATTAAAAAATTTCAGAATTTAATCATCCATGAAAAATTAGTGGCGTTAAATGTACCTAATGTCCTATATAAATTTTATAGCAATGTGCTTATTTTAACATATTGTTCGTTCTTGCATACATATTTCATATAACTTTTACTTTTGTGTGCGCTAATATTAAAATAACCTTTCTTTGTTCAGGTAATTGCAAGTTCCTTGCAAGTATTTAAAATCTTAGAACAATCAAAAGTTTGATTGATAAAGCAATTAAATTCAGTTAGTTTTTTGAATGTATACATTATAATTGATGACCGATAATTTAAATTAAGAAGGTACGAAAGTGTAATTATATTTTTGTATTCGAAATTCCATTGCTAAATAAAGTTATAAACTTGAACAATTGCTGTATAAATTGCAGAGATTCAAAGACTATTTGACAGAAATACAAAGTTTCTTTTGTTTTTCTTTTACTGATTAAATCGACGATTGAAATTACTTAATTTTGAACTAGGTAATCAACCCACCTTCTGACAGGTAGGTGACCTTAACAACTACGTGTTGGACCTTATTTCCTAAGTTTTCACGGCATCAACATGAATCAGTCGTCAATTCTACACCGCAGTTACACCAAGAGAAAGATTTAGTTAAACTCATTAATCATGTTATCATGTAGTAGATTAACAAAATTAGGACCACTTATTTGAGTATTACTGTACTAATTGTTACTTTGTCATTAAATAAAGTCTACAGTTAGCAACTAACCATGGGCC